ACAGAGTCGTATTCATTCATCTTGTTGGCTTGAGAGTTCTCTGTCTTTCGCTCTCCCCTGTTCATAAGATGAAGCTCTCGTTCATTCCCTTCATTATTGGCCTGACTGTCCATTCTGCTCTTGCTGCTCCGGGCCTCAAGCCGCGTAGGACAAGTTCTCTCCTACTCAGTGAGTTGTGAGGGGTTTGTTTTGACGCGATTCTAACGCTTCTCTAGATCATGTTGCCCAACCAGATTTGCCACAGCCACGACCAGCCTACAAAAATGCTTACGCCACGAATAGCAGTAGCGGTGGTCTGAATCTCGACGATATCCAAGGAGATGTCTTGTAAGCCTCCCGTTTATATCTGTCGTCTAGATAATTATACGTGGCCTTTGTCAGAATTGGGGAGAAGAAGAATAAAGAATTATTCTTCTTTTTCGGCATCCAAAATGCGACCGCCTTCAAATCCAAACTTTCCTCAGATATCAGCCCCCTCGTTACCAACACCAACCAACTTCTTTCTGTGGACACTCAACCTGTCACCGCCGTCAATATTGCTTTTTCTCAAAGCGGCCTCACTGCTTTGGGAGTAACTGATAACCTCAAAGATTCCGCATTTTCAAGCGGACAATTCGCGGATGCAGAGAATCTGGGTGATCCTGGAACCAGCAACTGGATATCTGGGTTTATAGGAACGAGGGTTCATGGGGTTCTAATGTTCTTTTCGGATACCGATGAAAATATCGATGAAGAGTTGTCAAATATCCAAAGTATACTGGGTGATTCGGTTACCGAGGTCCATCGTCTGAACACTTCTGCGAGGCCTGGAGATCAACAAGGACATGAACGTGAGTCCCCTATATTCTCCTTTGCCAGGTATAGTTAACTCGCGACTTGCTCTAGATTTCGGCTACTTGGATGGAATCAGTCAGCCCGCCATCGAAGGCTTCACGCAAGACGTTCTTCCAGGCCAAATGCTCGTCCCTCCAGGGTCATTTATTCTTGGAGCTGACGGAGACTTGTTCGCTCGGCCTCAATGGGCGGTTGGGGGTTCATTCCTCGCTTTCCGCCAAATGCAACAAATGGTCCCCGAGTTCAACAAGTATGTCAGGGACAATGCGGTTATGCTTCCTGGACTATCCCAAACAGAGAACTTTAATCTTTTTGGCGCGCGATTGTTCGGAAGGTGGAAAAGTGTGAGCGAGCTTCTTGACAGTTTGAGGTCCTTTTTTTGATAATGCGCTTTCCAAAGGGAGCTCCTGTTGATCTGGCACCTTTACAAGATGATCCAGAGCTCGCTAATGACAAAATGAGGAGCAACAATTTTACATATGACCATCCCGAGTATCCAGGATTCGACATGGTTTCGAATCAGACCAATTGTCCTTTCAGGTACCAGCCATTATCTTCGAAGGTCTGATTCAAAACTGACAATTTATCCTAGTGCTCATATCAGAAAAACAAGACCTCGTCGTGATTTTAACCCGGAGGAGCCTTTCCATCACATCATCCGAGCTAGTATTCCATACGGACCCGAAGGTATGCCATTTGTATTCGATACGTTATTGATTAGCTTACTCCACGTACAATAGTCACCGATGGTGAACATGCCTCCAACAAATCAAGTACCGATCCTTCTCTCGAACGTGGTCTTGCATTCGTCGCCTACCAGTCGAGTATCGAAAATGGCTTCAAATTTATGCAAACTCAATGGGTGAACGATGCAAACTTTTTCATTGGCAAGCCTACTCCGTAAGTGGCCCTTGTATTGTTGATGCACACTGACGAAATTCAATTGAACCGAATTTGTAGCCCCGGAGTAGATCCTATCATCGGTCGTATACCCGGTACCCCAGCTGATGCCCCCCGTAACGTATCAGGTACAAACCCCATGAACCAGAGTCAGATATTCACTCTCGATAGTGGTATGTAAACTATATTTATCACCTGTCCAGATTTCCGTTGACCGACGATCATTATTCATTCTCAAGATATCGTTATTTCTCGGGGTGGGGAATATTTCTTTGTCCCTCCCATTTCGGCACTCTCGGGTGTACTTGCTGCTTGACAAGGACGAGAATAGAATTGTGTTATACTTAGGTTTAAAATAGGTTAATGATTAGATGAAAGGAATGAGAATATTCTATTGAGCCTCCCATACTGATAAGCGAACTTGAAGAAACAAATGGCAAACATAGTATTGAAGTTTGACTTGTTGTAACGAATGAATTGTCACTTGCTATTTCACGACAGACTGTGATCTAGGTAATACTTTCCTTTGGCTCTGTCCCGGTTTCTAATCCAGTCGAGGCCAGTGACATCTGTTGTGTAGCAGCAAGGTGATTAACAGAAGTAGAAACATCCTGAGTCAGCTGTGTAGTCTGAACTGTGGTAGGCCCGTGCTCGAACAACAAATTGGAACGTGGTATAGAAGTCGAGTTGATAATCGTTCCATAATTCTCCTCATCCCTGCCGCCCACTACCTGGACACGAGAGTTGAGAATGACTAGGATGGTGTTTGCGTACATTTTGGGTATAATCCAAACGACTGTGGTATAGAAAGTTTGGTCTGGAAAAACGATGTAAAGGATAAAATCGAGAGTAGCAAGCATGGCTTTAGTTGCATGTAGTTTAGTTTGGCAACTTTTAGGAGGAATGAACGTATACTTTACCTGTCGCAGTTCCGGTTTCAATGATGAGTCGGATTAGTTTTGATAATAGTGATCTTGTTTTTCGCACCCGAGTAGTGCTTCGACTGCGATATAACTACAACAGGCAAAACAATTAGTTTTTATACAAGTATATTAGACATAAACAGACATAAAACGTCATACAAGCCGCAATGAAGATATCGCAAGACGCCTGACCTCCATCTCGTATCTGAACAGAAGTGAGTCGAGAACTTCGTGCTTAGGAACCCATAACACTCACAATTACAGCAATAGTTGTTGACAAAGTATTCAGTTGATCCAGTCTCCCTGATGCTTTCGCGGTGCATCCTGACATGATTCCACCAGCGCTACCTGTCAAGGACAACTATACTTTTGATTTAATGAGCTTGAAATGGCCGAGATTCAAACAATACGCACCACAATAATGATGCTTGGTATGACTTTTGAATCTGACAAAATGTGGATTCTATAGGCAAAAAATATCTGTCCAATGCATGCAACTTCGGACCTCCCAAATCAATACAAATCAAGCTGAATCTCGATCATGTCAAGCTCACCGATTGCGCTCATGATGGGCAGTGCTAACCAAAGTAAGCCTATTTGGACAAGGGCATTATAATCGCCGAATCCAGAACCGTATGAAAGAAACCCATCACGCGTGACGAGAATAGTCTGGGTAATCTCTAGAGAGTATACAAGGTAAACAACACATTTGACGATTGTTTTGTCTTTGGGAAAGTACATATAGTAGAGGTCTGTGCAGGAGGCTGAGTGAAAGTAAGTGAACTTTGATGATACGCACATAGTTGAACCGATAATATTCCAAATAAACCCCAGTGTAGGAGGTATGCTATGAACTTCAAGGCCATTAATTAGAGGGATGCGATTTCGGGCTCAAGTAAGGGACGTATGCTTACCAGCGGACCAGAACTAAAGAATGAAGCAATCAGTAAAGGTTTGAGGCAGAGATATTGAACGCACACAACGGCTATGTCGATCCCAAACGGAGCTGCTATCGTCGACATGATAGACAGCAAAGAAACAATGAAGAAAACGTAGGTACAGAATATGCTGTCTTATTCTCTCCTGCGTACTTATAATTCTGTTCAAAATATCCAAACGCTGAAGCCAAATACATCATGATGCGAACATACCGATTCATTGCCATTGGCGAGTTATAATAAGTTTACTTTATTATGAGTCACGTATGGTGATGCTAACTTTGTGCAAGCTGTCAGAAATCAGTCTTCTTAGATGATGAAAGCGTTTTCTCGCATGTTGAGCTACTGAATAAGTACGTTTAGGCTTACTGCACAAAAATTCTAATTAAAAAGGAATTCTAGCTTGAATCAAGCTGGCTAAGCGTTCTGGTAGCACATCATGGGGTATATCCTGAATGGCGACAAGACGGCCTAGGCCGAGATAATAATTGGCTATACAGACCAAAATAGCAATCGACAGGTAGAATTTTTACGCGTTTGTCCCTCCCAGTCGGCTTTATCGCAACGCCCGACTACTCACCGCTTTGAATCCCTTGATCCCGATAGAGCGGGCGCTACAATTCGAGCTTGGGCCCAACGCTAGCTCAAGAACAAGTGATCCATCTCTGAGAAATTTTGCGGACAATTTCCAACCATTTATTGATCTTGCAAGCTTACTACTTGCATTGAAATCGGTTACGCGGCCGAACTTAAGATTGGTCCTATTCTGAATAGTTAGCGACTGCAATTCGGCAATCGGCATTATAGGCCGAACCACGGCTTCTGGCCAAAAGTGATCGGGCACCTGCTTTTCCTGAGCGTTTATCGTGCATTGTTCGAAGGTGATTTTCTTCTTGATTAATTGTATATACGTGGATCAACAGTGCTGATATTCGTCTTCAAACAGGAGATCCCTGGAATTCTTTTTGCCTGAATTAAGGTTACATAGTAAGTACTTCTTTCTTCAGTTATTCTATTAGTATAGAGCGCTGATGCACTGACCATCACAAAACTTGAATGAGCATGACTAGCTCGTTTTGGTGGTATTGAAATGTTGAGTTTGAATATGCGGTGCAAGCAAATCTTTTCAAAGTAAAATAGCCTTGAAGAGGAAAAAAAGATTCAAACTCGCAGAGTGCCCCCTTGCGGTCGTCACGACCTTCGCAAATGTCTTGGATACGTGGACTATGTACTACGCAAAGCGAACGCGATGACCTCTACGCTATGTGCCCTGTTTTACACTGTGACAATCTAAGTACCACGAAATGTATGTTATTTCTTTCTTTATTTCTAAATTATTATCTAGAGCAGCAAGGTAACGACAAATTTTACAAAAACTGTATTGTAAACACGGACCACAGCCATATGGACACATCCGGATTTGAACCGGAGACCTTTCGCAATGATCATTATTCTCGCTTATGCAAAGCGAACGCGATAACCCCTACGCCATGCGCCCTCAATCCCAATGAAAAGTGCATATGGCCAGATCGAGCCAGAGCGAGCCATGTCTAAGAACTCGCTCACACCCTTCCTGACTCGCCCTCGCTCGAAATTTTGGGCACTTGATCTAACCAGAATGAGTCGCGGCGAGTGTTGTACTTTTGAATAGCTTTGGCTCGCTCAGACTCGTTGGGTTTTAGTGTATTTAATGGCTTTATTGTCACTGCTTCCCCGCCTTGGCTCGGACACGCTCGCTTGATTGTACACATAAAGTCTATTATCAAATAGCTAGATACACAAACACTACTGTGGGGTATCACCACATACGACCTTCCTATGCACCCAGAGCAACCCATTCTCCACAGAATGCCCAATACCTAGAAGCCGCTTGGAGGAGACACCAGGAAAAAATGAAGAAAAAATGGTTTTTAAAGGCACGACTGAGAGGGACACGTCATCAGAGCATACCTTGGATCCTGCCCACCATGAAAGAGTGCTAAAGACATGGATATATGCGTCAGTTTCTGTGTATTATGAGTAATTCAGCACAGTTTACACACCTAAAGACAGAACCCTGGAGAAAGTGGTTCGTTACCACCGACACGTCACAGACCTCTCTACTAACATGACCATCATTCCACAGATAACGCGTAGGGATTCGGAATGACTAGTACGCCACGAGTCCACGAGTATACAGTGGAAGAGGGCATGAGGCAGAGGCGCACGGAAATGTCTCAGGAGGAGTGGGGAGATGGTGGTGCGAGTGCAAGATGCGTTGGTGCAGATTCACACGCCCGCGTCGTCTGATATGGCGTTGGGAACTGACTAACTTCGGAATACTCTGTAGGACTCGTACAAGCTATGTGGATGAGAGTATAATCAAACAATTTAGCTTAGATTACATTTCGTCGGCATATATCTTAGGGAAATGCTATTTAACTATTTAGTTTGAACGAACCTCAAGTACATATATTTCACTTTTTTGGCTTGGCTCGCTCTCGCTCGATTTTTTCACTTTTCTCACGACCCGTACTCGCTCAGGCTCGTTCCGGACCTAGGCACTTTTCACTGGGCCTCAATGCTTGGTAGAAGTTTTATTTTTATCTTATCAAGTAGGATGTACGCCTCAGTACGGGCCACGACTTGGTTTGTTACCGCGTATCCTATCCTAGTATGCACGGAACTGTCTATTTCTGACTGACCGCATGAAATTTAAAAAGATCATTTGATCTGACGCTCACTGACGTGCACAGAGTTCGAGTGAGTCGAGTTGAGGACTCTGTGTTGGAAGGAATGACATTGGGATTGACACTGAACTGCATTGCAATTGACTCTTGACTAAAAGTCAATCAGTATTAGTGGGATCAATAGAGCTGCTAGTCCGATTCCGATTCCGACTCGTTTCCGGTGTTGGTATGTTGCGGTTGAATAGATCATTTTCCGAGTCGTATTCCATCAGTGAGTCTATACATTGACCATTAGCGAGAGAAGCAAAATAGTTAGTGTTCTGATAGTGTACTTTATATTCGGATATACATAAGTTATTCCGTACTTGTACAGATTGAAGTAGACGAACTGCAAAAACCAACAAACGTAGCATCATGGACACATCCAGATTTGAACCGGAGACCTTTCGCATGCAGTAGACCTTGATGGATTATGGATGCAAAGCGAACGCGATGACCCCTACGCTATGTGCCCTTCTACATGAACCTACAGGTGTGATGGATGAGAACGACTTTTTGATCGGAACATTTTCAGTACCGACGTCCGGTGGGAAGAACAGTTGTCATCTCTTCCGTGTCATCCTAAACCAGCTCTTGTCCTCTACTAGCCTTGTAGATACTTTCCAGAGAGCAAGCAGATATCACAAGCAAGACTTTTGCATGTGAAAAACCCCGCACACCGATCATAGTCAGTCGGGTTGCCAAAAAAAGAGAGCCGGGGAGAGCTTGGTCAGCTAGCCGAAGCAAACATGTGATACCAGACCTGTCCCCAAAAAGCCGTGTCTCTCTTTCTCTCTTCTTACCACAATCAACATGTCCGCCGCTCGCCAACGCATCCTCCAGAAATCCGACAATGACGTTGTCATCGTCTCCGCCATCCGTTCTGCGATAACCAAAGCCAAAAAGGGCGGTTTCAAAGACACCAGACCGGAAAGAAATCCTTATGCATGTTCTCAAACACGCATACTCTTCCGTCAACCTCGACCCCAAACTCATTGAAGACGTCGTAGTAGGCAACGTTTTGCCTCCTTCTGGAGGAGCGACTGCAGCGAGGATGGCAGCACTCGCAGCGGGTATTCCGCATACCACCAGTTTGAACACGCTCAACAGGCAGTGTTCGAGTGGTCTCTCGGCGGTCAACCAGATTGCTAATGAGATTTTGACGGGGCAGATCGACATTGGTATTGGTGAGTACTCGCCTATCCCGCTCTTCTCTGCATATCCTAATTGCTTCCAGGCGCCGGTGTCGAATCCATGACCTTTGGCTACGGCCCCTCTGCCCAAGCAGACGGCTACTCTGACCTCGTCCTCTCCCACCCCGAAGCATCCGACTGCACTCTTCCCATGGGTATCACTTCCGAAAACGTCGCTGCCCAATACGGTATCTCCCGTGACCGTCAAGACCATTTCGCCGCTCTCTCCTTCCAAAAAGCGGCCGTAGCTCAGAAATCAAACAAGTTTGCGCCCGAAATTCTCCCTATCAAAGCTACCTTTGTCGACCCAAAGACTGAACAGGAAAAGGAGGTTGTCGTGGACAAGGACGATGGTGTCCGTGAGGGTGTGACCAAGGAGAGTTTGGGCAAGTTAAAGCCTGCGTTTAGCAAGACGGGCTCTACACATGCGGGCAATGCTTCGCAAGTTTCGGATGGTGCCGCTGCGGTGTTGCTTGCTAGGAGGAGTGTAGCGAAAAAGTTGGGCTTGCCGATTGTGGGCAAGTTTGTTGCGGCCCAGGTTGTTGGTGTTCCGCCCAAGATTATGGGTGTTGGACCGGCGTATGCTATTCCCAAGGTACGCACTGCTCTTCTCTCCTCTATTAATGTACTCATGCGCTCTGGCAGGTCCTTGAGAAATCAGGCCTCTCCATCTCGGATATCGACTTTTTCGAAATCAACGAAGCCTTTGCTTCTCAAGCTGTCATGTCCGTCGACCAGTTGGGTATCCCTTGGGAGAACGACAAGCCTGGAGACAAGGCCAAGGTGAACAGGTGGGGAGGTGCCATTGCTATGGGACATCCTTTGGGTTGCAGTGAGTTTCTCTTTTCGTTCTTCTACCAGAGGAGGAGTGTGGTCGTAGTATACGCTCTCTTTGCTGTTGACTGCACTGGCTTTATATCATCGTTCACCCCGGTCCTTTTCCCTTGTCTTCCTTTCCCCTGTTTATCTATGAACGTCCCACTGACCACCCTTCTCTTTGAACAGCCGGCGCCCGTCAAATAGCTACCGCACTCAACATTGCCAAGCAAGACGGCGAAAAGGTGTTTTGTACAAGCATGTGTATCGGGTCTGGGATGGGTATGGCGGCTGTTTTTGTTAGTGAGCAGTAGGCTCTGAGTTTAGTACATGTCGACTTGTAGTATTGTCATTTTTTATTTGAAGGAATTGTGGATTGTATTTCACGTAAAATGTTTAATTGTGTAGATGGGAGAGGTCAAGCCTTTGTTTATGGGCACATGGCATAGGGGTTATGACGCTTGTTAAATGTCGAGAGATCTCTGGTTTGATTCCGGATGCGTCCGTCAGATTAGCATGTTTTTTTTCTAAAGATCCCGTTTTCATTTGGACTTGTCAATTAATCGCTGGTTACTGGTAAACGTCCCAAAAATTTTGATTTCATACTTATGGGAAATATGATGACCCCACTCATAAAAAATGGGGCTATGGAGAAGTGTTAGCGGCGAAGTGACCATGGAATAATTGCACTAATAATTCCAAGGTCCAAAAATTGACATTTTTCCCATTGAAGATACACTACGAAAATTTTACTAAAGTAGACTGTTTACCTTATTTGCAACTAAAAGTATAATCTGTCTCAACAGTAAACATCTCTAAATTCTACATCCCTTCACGATATGTACCACACCTGTTGCATACTTGTGTCCTGGCTTATTGCCCTATACCACGGAATCTCAAAATCTTCCAACTCGAGTGTATTCTCCACCTGGCTATTCCGAGTACAACGGCACACGAAAACGCCAACTAACGTATCCTCACACCCTGAGTCCTGCTCAATTCGGACCAATATACCAGCTTCTAGGCTTGCAGAGATCTGTGGTTCATGTAAATAGGCCAGCTGATGGCCGATATTTTCTGTCCAGAAATTTGGATACAGATTCGTGTCAATCAATACTCCGTGAGTTACGTGCTGCGGTGCATAGACAATCCTAAAGATCCAGTATCCTTCCGGAGTGACAATTGAGCTCATATCTTCTGATAAATCAAAGATGAGAGACATCCATGAGCCGCATAGTCCACGATTAGTAACTGTACGCCTAGCAGGCTGTTCTACCAGTCTAGACCGTGCAGCATAGAGTTTTAAAAGTCTCTGCGGGCACCATCGGAATCCTGGTTCTGTCAATCGAGGTCCTTCCACCAAGGTAATGTCCATCATGATCACTTTTGTCATTTTAACAAACTCGATTGTTTGCTCGTCATCAGATGCACAGCTGGCTAGTTTTCTGATTTGATCTTGTGAGAGCCCAGCTATCAATCCAATGCAAACTAGTTCGTCTTTAGGATGACTCGTTACTCGTGTAGAGGACCTTGTAAAGGCGTCGAAAACATCCAGAGCTGGATCTTGTTGGACCAACCGATCGAATTGTGCACTGAGGTTGATGATAGTACGTCCAAGGTAGCCCGACGGAGTGCAGAGATACCCAGGTCCATTCCTATCCAGCCAGCTCTGTACACAATCCACAGCCGATCTAAAGTCCACCAACAAATTATCCTGAAGCCGGATAAAAAGCCTACTGGAATAACTCGATGCTATAGCCTCCTGAGTAGTCCACAACCGAGTTGCCCATTTGCTTGTGCAGACGCGAAAAGCGAATTCCTGTGGGTCACTAGGGCGTGCCAGATGCATTAATTCAGTGTCTAACACCAAAACTGCAGATGAGTTTTTGTAGATGGAATTCATCATGGAGATGATTTTTTTCCTGGCAAGCCCATCGGTGGTTATAGGTACACAAAGTGTATCCAAGAACCAAAGGTTACTGCCAGTGTTATTGAGATCTGTTTGTAGCCTGGAAACACTATAGTGTAAATCCATGGCTCGGCATTTGGGAATTGAATTCTCTAGAGGATTCCCAAGTCCATCTGCCCATACATGAGAGATTGCAATATATGATTGTCCACCTACACCGCCAACTGGAAAAAGTAGAAATTTGATAGGTACAATGATATGACACCTTGAGGTTTGGGGTGAAATGTCAAGCAGACGTAAAGCTGAGCTTTGAAAGAGCTTGTTTGCTCAAGAGCCCAAAATGAAATCGCCGTGGGATATCTGTTAGGCGTTGAGACAATTGGCTTGACGCGTGATTGTACTTGAGCTCATTGAGAGATCCTCACGGACATCTTTTCAACGGACTGCCTCCACCTTTGATCCCATGGTCAGACTCTTCCCCTTTTCTTCAACTTGGCAAGTCAAGTCAATGTTGTTCTGCCCTCAATCGCGGTCACATGGCCTTGTTGAAGTATTTCAACGCGAACTTCAACGCAGCCAAACTCATTCCACTTCCCCCACCAGCACTCCTCTAATGCCCCTCCAAAGACTGACCCCTTCAATTTCGAGCTTAGCTCTTATGTTCTTTTCAGGTCATATACTCCGCCGCCGCTGACTGTCTCTGTACAGTTGAGATGGAAGATATGTTGGGAGTGGAATAAGGGATAAAGTACGTCTTGGGTCTCATCACTGTTGGTAATCCATTCTGAAGTCTGTTCTCTGTTTTTTTTTTTTTGCAGCAATGTCTCTGTCCGTTGTCTTTGTACGTTCCCGTGAACTGTGCAGTTTTTATTTATGCTCACTATTCCATATTCCAGATCTCACCCTTGTTTACTGCTAGTATGTTATTAGTAACCCTATATACTATCCTGTAATGTATTAGTAGCCGAAATAATATTGTTCTTCTCTATTTTTACTGGCACGAGGAAATAGTAAAATAGAAATTTCTATTATGAGGAAGAACCTGAATGAGGCCTGCGGCTGATTGTGAACAGATATATAAAGAAGGCCGACCAGTGACTGATAGCAAGATGTGATTGAGACCGCTTCAAAGCTCTCAGGGAGATTGCTGACAGACCTCTCCAGGATGGGGCTCTCATTTGAGCGTTTTGAATTCCGGCGCGAGGATGTCATTTGGACCTCATTTGACGTCAAACCGACATCAGCCAAATCTCATCTCAAAACCATCACCCCGACCTCAAATTAAGATCCTTCCTGGTTGGCGGTGTAGTTTCGGGTCAACCCGTTTTATAGCGAGTCGCTCTGTGGATTCATCCCAAAGAACAACAGGAAGCTGATCTTCTGAAATGGCTGCTATGACTTCATCCACATCAACAGTGAGATGCTCACAAACACAGCTAGATGTCAGGTGCTGGGGGACATATGTCTTATCATCAACCACAGCCTCAGCACATGATCCAGCGTCACAGTTTGTATGCAGACTCTGTCGAAATTTTGGGCCCAGCAAACTGGCGTAAT